TTTTCTCTCTCTCTCTCTGTTCTCATAAAGGCAATATATGTGTACATGGGTACCATTACATGTACTTGTGTCTAAATATATCAACTGATGTAAGTAAGAGTGAATATGAGTCGTGTGAGGTCTGAATATATAATATGAATTGTTTGAATGTAAATATACCATATATTGCAAAAAAATCTTGAATAAAAAGAAAATTACAAAAAAGAAAATTAAAAAAAAAATAAAAAAATAACCAGACCACTGAAAAATGAAGAGCGTGACAAAACATTGAAAACATTTTCTAAATCAACCACACAAACAGCAAATATCAAATAACGTTAAGCCATTTTGTTACCACAATTTGCCCTTTTAAGTTATTGTGTACATGTTCCTGCTGACAGACTGGTTTTACATTCTCTATATAATGTTAAGCAGACATTAGAAATTGTTGTTTGTATATTTCAGGAGCGTAATATTGCAGTTGAATCCAAGTCGTACGAGGAGTACAGGTGTTTGCTGTGTACTGGTCACCATGCATTCCACACGAGTGCTGCAGATCTCATGGAGAGTCACCTCGAGGAACACCTCAATTCCAACTTCCCGTGCAGGGAGTGTGATGCGACCTTTGACCTCCAAAGCCTTCTTACAGAGCACTGTAACAAGGAGCATAGTGTCACATGTGAAATTTGTGATCAGGAATTCTCCTCGAGAGGATTGTATAAACGCCACATAGGACGCATGCACGGGCAGAGAAGTATTTCCTGCTTCAAATGTGATGAAAAGTTTAAAACCAAGTTACTATTTAAACAACATCTGTTAGAGGCACATCCTGGCTCTGCCCATAGATGTGATAAGTGTGGTGTGATCCTAAGGAGCCATCTCAATGCCATGCAGGGCCACATGAACTCCAAGAATTGTCTGCGGCGACAGCAGGGAAATCTAAAGACACAATGTGAGATTTGTGGTAAATTAGTGTCTGAGAATGGGATACGAAAACACAGGCAAAGGGTGCACCAAAAATTACGCATATTTAAATGTGACGTCTGCCCATATGCTGGAATCACCCTTCAGTCTCTCAAAGACCATAAGAAGACACATACAGGTGAGTAGCTAACCTTAAAGACAAGTAACAGATTAGGTGTATGTTAGCTTCTTCTACAGGTGTGCATCACTGGTATTTGTCACCCTCCTACAGGTGTGTGTCACAGGTACATGTCATTCTCCTACAGTTGTGTCACAGGTACATGTCACCCTCCTACAGTTGTGTCACAGGTACATGTCACCCTCCTACAGTTGTGTCACAGGTACATGTCACCCTCCTACAGTTGTGTCACAGGTACATGTCACCCTCCTACAGTTGTGTCACAGGTACATGTCACCCTCCTACAGTTGTGTCACAGGTACATGTCACCCTCCTACAGTTGTGTCACAGGTACATGTCACCCTCCTACAGTTGTGTCACAGGTACATGTCACCCTCCTACAGTTGTGTCACAGGTACATGTCACCCTCCTACAGTTGTGTCACAGGTACATGTCACCCTCCTACAGTTGTGTCACAGGTACATGTCACCCTCCTACAGTTGTGTCACAGGTACATGTCACCCTCCTACAGTTGTGTCACAGGTACATGTCACCCTCCTACAGTTGTGTCACAGGTACATGTCACCCTCCTACAGTTGTGTCACAGGTACATGTCACCCTCCTACAGTTGTGTCACAGGTACATGTCACCCTCCTACAGTTGTGTCACAGGTACATGTCACCCTCCTACAGTTGTGTCACAGGTACATGTCACCCTCCTACAGTTGTGTCACAGGTACATGTCACCCTCCTACAGTTGTGTCACAGGTACATGTCACCCTCCTACAGTTGTGTCACAGGTACATGTCACCCTCCTACAGTTGTGTCACAGGTACATGTCACCCTCCTACAGTTGTGTCACAGGTACATGTCACCCTCCTACAGTTGTGTCACAGGTACATGTCACCCTCCTACAGTTGTGTCACAGGTACATGTCACCCTCCTACAGTTGTGTCACAGGTACATGTCACCCTCCTACAGTTGTGTCACAGGTACATGTCACCCTCCTACAGTTGTGTCACAGGTACATGTCACCCTCCTACAGTTGTGTCACAGGTACATGTCACCCTCCTACAGTTGTGTCACAGGTACATGTCACCCTCCTACAGTTGTGTCACAGGTACATGTCACCCTCCTACAGTTGTGTCACAGGTACATGTCACCCTCCTACAGTTGTGTCACAGGTACATGTCACCCTCCTACAGTTGTGTCACAGGTACATGTCACCCTCCTACAGTTGTGTCACAGGTACATGTCACCCTCCTACAGTTGTGTCACAGGTACATGTCACCCTCCTACAGTTGTGTCACAGGTACATGTCACCCTCCTACAGTTGTGTCACAGGTACATGTCACCCTCCTACAGTTGTGTCACAGGTACATGTCACCCTCCTACAGTTGTGTCACAGGTACATGTCACCCTCCTACAGTTGTGTCACAGGTACATGTCACCCTCCTACAGTTGTGTCACAGGTACATGTCACCCTCCTACAGTTGTGTCACAGGTACATGTCACCCTCCTACAGTTGTGTCACAGGTACATGTCACCCTCCTACAGTTGTGTCACAGGTACATGTCACCCTCCTACAGTTGTGTCACAGGTACATGTCACCCTCCTACAGTTGTGTCACAGGTACATGTCACCCTCCTACAGTTGTGTCACAGGTACATGTCACCCTCCTACAGTTGTGTCACAGGTACATGTCACCCTCCTACAGTTGTGTCACAGGTACATGTCACCCTCCTACAGTTGTGTCACAGGTACATGTCACCCTCCTACAGTTGTGTCACAGGTACATGTCACCCTCCTACAGTTGTGTCACAGGTACATGTCACCCTCCTACAGTTGTGTCACAGGTACATGTCACCCTCCTACAGTTGTGTCACAGGTACATGTCACCCTCCTACAGTTGTGTCACAGGTACATGTCACCCTCCTACAGTTGTGTCACAGGTACATGTCACCCTCCTACAGTTGTGTCACAGGTACATGTCACCCTCCTACAGTTGTGTCACAGGTACATGTCACCCTCCTACAGTTGTGTCACAGGTACATGTCACCCTCCTACAGTTGTGTCACAGGTACATGTCACCCTCCTACAGTTGTGTCACAGGTACATGTCACCCTCCTACAGTTGTGTCACAGGTACATGTCACCCTCCTACAGTTGTGTCACAGGTACATGTCACCCTCCTACAGTTGTGTCACAGGTACATGTCACCCTCCTACAGTTGTGTCACAGGTACATGTCACCCTCCTACAGTTGTGTCACAGGTACATGTCACCCTCCTACAGTTGTGTCACAGGTACATGTCACCCTCCTACAGTTGTGTCACAGGTACATGTCACCCTCCTACAGTTGTGTCACAGGTACATGTCACCCTCCTACAGTTGTGTCACAGGTACATGTCACCCTCCTACAGTTGTGTTACAGGTACATGTCACCCTCCTACAGTTGTGTTACAGGTACATGTCACCATCCTACAGTTGTGTTACAGGTACATGTCACCCTCCTACAGTTGTATCACAGGTACATGTCACCCTCCTACAGGTGTGTCACAGGTACATTCCACCCTCCTACAGTTGGGTCACAGGTACATGTCACCCTCCTACAGTTGGGTCACAGGTACATGTCACCCTCCTACAGTTGGGTCACAGGTACATGTCACCCTCCTACAGTTGTGGCACAGGTACATGTCACCCTCCTACAGTTGTGTCACAGGTACATGTCACTCTCCTACAGTTGTGTCACAGGTACATGTCACCCTCCTACAGTTGTATCACAGGTACATGTCACTCTCCTACAGTTGTGTCACAGGTACATGTCACTCTCCTACAGTTGTGTCACAGGTACATGTCACCCTCCTACAGTTGTCACAGGTACATGTCACCCTCCTACAGTTGTGTTACAGGTACATGTCACCCTGCTATAGGTGCACGTTACTGTCTTTTACACATGTATTTTCCCCCAGACAGTCAAAGGTGTCCGATCATTATAATGCCTGTCTAAGCTATAATTTCTGAAAGGCTCAATCATTTTCAGCTAATTTGGCCCGCAGAGACATGTAAGCATATATATGCGACTAAAGGAATTCAATGTTAAAACAAAGGAGATGTGACACTTAGGGACAGGTGGGTGGGGGTAGAAAGGATATAAACCTCTTTCATGATATTGTTCCTAAATTCAGTGAGGGTGAAGCGAGTTTAAATCGACTATGGAATTGCATATTCCACAAATTCATAACACATTTTCAATTATAAGGCATATTCCATCCTAATTTGTTTTCTCTTCCCCAGGTGAGCATCCTGTGAAGTGTACTCTGTGTGAGTTTTCTTGCATCAAGCCATATCAACTTAAGTGTCACATGCGAACTCACCTCAAACTCAAACCATACAAGTGTGATAAGTGTAGCTACGCTGCCTCCTGGAATGTACAGGTAAAGGACCATATGAAGGCCCACTTCAGTCCGACTCGTGTGGACTGTGCTGATTGTAATATTTCTTTCAAGGACCAGAGAGGGCTGAACCTCCATCGCCACAAGGAACATCGTGAAGGAGCCAAGGACGATAAGGCAAAGGAGTTAGCTCCAAAGAAACGAGGAAGACCAACTCGTGTAATGGAAGGAGAGGTGAAACCAGACAATAAGAGGGGGACTAGAAAAAAGAAAACGGAACAGGAGTGGTCTGAGGAGGAGGAGGATAGCACAGACACAGAGGCAGAGCTGCAAAATGAAGCATCGGAAGAAGAAAAGTACATTCCTCGGAAATCAGCACGCAGAAGAGTCACAAAACGATTGGATCCACAGTTTGAGCACAGTTCAGAGGGAGAGGAGGAGGAGGAGGAGGAGGAGGCGGCGGAGGAAGAAGAGAATGATGGACATGAGCAGGCTGCAGACTCCTATGTACCGTCCGTGTCAAAGATAGTTCAATAAATTGATTGTGACATCAACGAATTGCAGAGTATGAAGTTGAAACAGGATACATTGTGTGATTCTAAGTAGCCGATACATAACTGTATTGCACTGTACATGTACTGTACATTTGATCTCCAAAATTGAAATAGTTATAATATTGGATTAAATATAAAATAGTCACACCTCATTAGATACCATATGTCTACAACCTTTCACCACATTTTTCGCCCTCAGTAAGAGGGGCAAATATATCATTCCAGCAAAATTTATCAATAACTTACTTTACATAGAAGTTTTATGTGAAGGGTGAAAGTTTAGCTTGGCGAGGATCTGGATTTACCAGTGAAGGGTGAAAGTTTAACTTGGCGAGGATCTGGATTTAGCAGTGGAAGGTTAAAGTTTAGCTTGGGGAGGATCTGGATTTACCAGTGAAGGGGGAAAGTTTAGCTTGGCGAGGATCTGGATTTCCCAGTGAAGGGTGAAAGTTTAGCTTGGGGAGAATCTGGATTTACCAGTGAAGGGTGAAAGTTTAGCTTGGCGAGGATCTGGATATACCAGTGAAGGGTGAAAGTTTAGCGGGGCGAGGATCTGGATTTACCAGTGAAGGGTGAAAGTTAAACTTAGGGAGGATCTGGTTTTACCAGTGAAGGGTGAAAGTTAAACTTAGGGAGGATCTGGTTTTACCAGTGAAGGGTGAAAGTTTAGCTTGGGGAGGATCTGGATTTCCCAGTAAAGGGTGAAAGTTTAGCTTGGCGGGGATCTGGATTTACCAGTGAAGGGGGAAAGTTTAGCTTGGGGAGGATCTGGATTTACCAGTGGAAGGTGAAAGTTTAGCTTGGGGAGGATCTGGATTTCCCAGTAAAGGGTGAAAGTTTAGCTTTGCGAGGATCTGGATTTACCAGTGGAGGATGAAAGTTTAACTTGGGGAGGATCTGGATTTACCAGTGAAGGGGGAAAGTTTAGCTTGGCGAGGATCTGGATTTCCCAGTGAAGGGTGAAAGTTTAGCTTGGCGGGGATCTGGATTTACCAGTGAAGGGTGAAGGGTGAAAGTTTAGCGTGGCAAGGATCTGGATTTACCAGTGAAGGGGGAAAGTTTAATTGGCGAGGATCTGGATTTACCAGTGAAGGGTGAAGGGTGAAAGTTTAGCGTGGCGAGGATCTGGATATACCAGTGAAGGGTGAAAGTTTTCTGGTATGCAGTAATGATGTTTGAGTTGTCTATACAATAAGAATTTGACGAAAATCCATTGACACGCTGTTCCACAAGATAACAAAGCAAGCCATACAGAGCTATTTGTATGCGTGACAATTAATTTATTTCCAAGTTTCAAAAGCAATATTTTCTTCAATACCTCATCTTAAGATTTTGTCTATGGCATTCTATAACTTAATCGTTTTCGTTTGTAGAAAGAAATAAAGGTTTCGGTAAACCAACACAATTTTAAGGTAAGGAGATCCAACATCCTGTGGGTAGTCGTCAGTTAATGTACCAGTGTAGGGATTCGTTTTTGTAAGTTTGTTTTGACAGTCTGTGGAATATTGAGATGTTGTCCCGTCTGCACCTGTATACCAGCTAAAGTAATAATACAAGTGATGCCAAATTTCTTTCTAAATAATGTGTCTGTCCGAGTGTCTGCAATTATACCCTGTTATCTGGAATTTCTGCAGTTATCGGTTTATAGCTATAACGAATCGATCATGAACCCAAATTTTAGAAGTTTGAAAACATCCATGAAATCAGTGTTTTATAATGAATGCTATTGGTGGATCGATAGATTTAGCCTGTAACAATATAAAACATTGCCACAATTAATATATATTTTTAAATTACTTTTGTGTTACTGTACTTACTGCTATCTTCATGTTTCTGAAATATGTAAAATTTCTGTAAATTTTGTACATGTGTTTGACCATCCTTTAATGACCATAGCTGTTGATAGGACGTTAAATAATACTAAACCAAACCAAACATGTGTTTGAGATAATTGAATAGATTATTTTTAAATCTCATTTGAATCAATTTAAATCTTTACAAGCCTATGTAGCATTATGTTTTCAACTGTATGCAAACGTGTTCCTGCTTATGACAATGTATATCAGCAAATGTATGGAACATTAAAATATCGAGTATGAGATACATGTACCGTGTTTAGTTCTCTGTCTCATGTAATACTGTACAACATGAAATGTTCTTGGGTACTTTCCTTGTGGTTTGAAGCTGTTTAGGTCGTTGTATGATAAAAACTCTCGTGGAAACCCATATGACAAACAGTAGTCTAGTATACATGTATCAATTAAAATTGTTGTATTTATTTCATTGTTTCATAGCAACCATGAATATTTATATACAGTGAACATTTCATGTTATACAGTATATCTAGTGTATTTGGACTGAATCCCAGAAAATTACAGAACTTGAACCAAATCGAAAATAAGGCTGTGTCAAATTAAACTCATTTCTTGCAACCAAATTGGTCTCTGGGCATTTTGCCCAGATACATTAATAAGTGTTTTAGGATGACAGAATATCGTAGGATTTCCTATTAGGCTGTTATCAGTGAACCTATAGGATTGCAAAAAGTCTGTCCATATGTCAAGTTTATCTATCCCTCTTTCTTCTCCAGACGACAACTTCTGAAAGATTGCTTTTAGGTCTTAAATCCCATATTGCGAAATTTGTGTGCACTTTTGTGCTTTGGTTTTGCTTTCCTCTCGAAGTATTTAAATGGACAATTTAGTGAAGCAAGTTTTTTTGAGTACCTGAAAATCAAGTCGATACTGAAATATATCTCTTCTAACAAAAGTTTACGTAGTCGATAACGACATGACCTGAAGCCAACGTCCAGTGTGGTTAGTTTCAACTTTTAGGAAAGCCGGTGATTAAAATACCGGTAGCTACGACCGAAATAGCGCAATATCTGGGCCTTTTAGTAAAAAGTTAACATTATACAGCACTACGCTGTCAACCGACAATACAGTGTCAGTTATACGAGTCCGAGTTCACACATAACTCATTCTTGAATTTACACAATACATCACAAGTAAGAATTATAAATATCATAATAATTACCTCTAATCAGACAGATATTTCTGTTCATATTTGGATTTAAATAAGAAAGAACATGTTCAATTAGAGCAGGCACGCACTAAGAGGGTGCCACAAGGAGAATTTCAAACCGCAAAAATGATGATATCAATAGGTTTAAACGTAAAATAGATCACTCATTTATAACGATGTTTTAGATGCTGTTACCTTCTCTCCTCATCTGCAGACATTTTTGTTAGCTAGAAATTCACCGACAGCTACCGCTAAAACATAAGGCTGTACAGTTAAGGATATATAATAATAATAATAATATACAACATTTGATATAGCGCCCTGTCTAGCTAACATAAGCCACTCTAAAGCGCTTTACAATTTTATACTGTCTNCAGTACATAGATATACAATTTTATACTGTCAATACAATTAGCATATACATTAATCAAAACAATATTGAGGAATTCGCAGGAGCTGCCTTACCAGGCGCTAACTACTAGTCCTATGCCATCTGGCTAATATCTCCCTATGTGTGTATGCCTGTGTGTGTGCTGGAGATGTATTGTGTTCTGTTTGTAGTGGGATTGTGCTTCCAACGGTATCATTTTTATAGTGCCACCTCGCTTGAATGCTACAGCACAGATACCGCAACACCCACCCCAGACCATTTAATACTCCACCTGGGTTGTTTGGAGTTGTGTGGGCAGGAGAAAAACACTTTCTCTAATATTCCATGCATACAGCGACTTCGGGAATCGAACCCCTGCCGCCTGCTTGGAAGGCCGGAGTGTTAACCACTCGACCAATCCCCCCATATCTCCATTACTGGTTAAAAACGCCAAGAAAACATTGTCTCTTGTCAATTTCTCGACAATTGTACATAGAGTATAGAACTATATAATTATGAAGAGTTTTGTGGCAAGGTCATAAATGAAACTTACTTCACTAAATTGTCCCTTTAACACCAGTTATTTACGATGGACCGTTTCCGCACGTAAAGAAAAGTTTTTTTAAATGGAAAGACCTCATCCACTTCGGCAAACTTATGTCACCAATATATAACACGTGTAGGCATTCCAACACCCATAAGGAAATCCTTTCCCAAGGAATTTTCTTAGCTTCTTAAATATTCCTGTACCACGCCTATAACAATGGATTTAACATGCTACTGGTATAGGGCACTAGATGTAATAAAAAGCAAGTCACAATCTCATTAGTGAAAAGTTTACTTCCAAATATTTGCCACATAAAGATATCTCTAGGGGAAAATCATTATAATGTAACTAGCAGCTGTTCTGAAAAGTGTTTCACACAAACGACACTACACCTTCCCAAAACTTAACATTCAGCACTGTTTAATGCTGAAGTCGGGGTATATTTCTATTCTTTGCTGAATTCTTGTCATCCAGGCATAGCAATATGATGAAAACATATATATATGTAATTAACATAAAGAATTTGTAATGTACAGCTCAAAACTTTAGGTATAACTTTTATTCTATGCTGAAATCTTAACATGTAGATAAACAAGAGGCCCAATGGGCCTGAATCGCTCAACAGGTATTAATTTCACATAAATAATCTTAAAAGTGGACTAAAATACAGCTACAGGCAGAATATCAGTGTTTGATTTATAGGAACCTATTAAAAGATTTAAACATATGACGCCTGTGACCTTGAATGTCGAACAAGGACATAAGGTTGAACAGAGTTTATAGTTGTCCAACCAAGCATGCTTCTGGCAAAATATCATTACCCTGGACCTTTTGGTTATACAGAACAAGTCATTTAAAGATTTAAACATATATTGACCACTGTGACCTTGAATATGGGCGAATGTCATTCATTTGAAAAACCTTGGTAGTCCTTAATCCCAGCATGTTAATGGCCAAATATCATCATCCTTAGCCTTTTGTTTATTGAGAAGAAGTCTTTTAAAGGTTGTAAACATATTTGACCCGTCTCCTTTAATATATG